AAAAAAATAAAAAAAAAACTGTCCTGGAGAGAAGAATACAATAGGTCCCCAGAGGCAGAGGAGGGTCAAGCGTTATTCACAGACAGGCACAATGTCATCAATAACAGGGATCAATGCCCACCCCAGCGTGGGGTCACCAATCTCAGCCCCCACACCTATGTTCAGGTCTGCACACTCCCAAGCTGAAATTCCACCCCTACGGAGGGATACACTCCAGTGAGGAGTCTCTTACCGGTGGACCACGGGCTCCAGGGAATCCTGGGGGCCCAGAGGGGCCTGAAGGGCCAGGTATTCCCTGTAGAATAGAGAGAAAACAGAAGTCACAGAAAGTGCAAAATTTGAAGGAGGCTGTCTCTTACCCTGACCTCAGCCCAACCTCCCTGCCCTCTTAGCCAGCTTTGACCCCTCGCCAATGATCTGCTGACCTTTATCACCTCCCAACTTGTATGAGTATGACCTTGTACATACTCATCTTTTGGGTATGTATCCAATGGCCTCCAGGCAACACTACAACCCAAGTTCCCACCCCAACTTGGAAAAAGATAGAACCAGGCACCCTGGTGCACACCTGCCATCCCAGCACCTGGAGATGGAGGCAGGAGGATAAAGAGATGGAAGCCAGCCTTGGAGCTGCATAGGGAGATGGAGACTGGCCTGGGCTACATAACAAGACCTATTAAAAAGGAAGGAAGGGGGAGGGAAAGAAGAAGGGAGGAAGGAAGGATGGAAGGAAAAAAGGTAGAAGGAAGAAAAAAAGGAAGGAGGGAGGAAAACTGGGAATAGGGGAATGGGTCCAGTACTCACCCGGGGTCCTGGGGCTCCCACAGGTCCCTCAAACTGCTGGCCCTGGATGGAGAGATGAGTGTGACCCTGGTTGTTACTCAGTTCTCCAACAATCCCGCAACCCCAGCCCTCTCACCTGTCCTGTCACCGCTGGCTCCCCTTTTGCCCCCTTCTCTCCAGCACCCTGGGTAGAGAGATAAAAGACTTGAGGACCTGTGACATGGCTCAGTTTGTAAAAGTGCTTGCCAGGCAAGCCTGAGGACCACAGTTCAATCCCCAGAATCTACAGTGCAGGAGACAGCTGATTCCTGAAAATTGTTCTCTGACCTCCATATGCTCACTGTGGCATACGTGTGCTCATACTCACACAGTAATAATATATATATGCATATATATATATTGACTTTTTTGAGACAGGGACTCCCTGTAGCCTTAGCTGTCCTGGAACTCACCAGGTAGACCACACTAGCTTCAAACTCATAGAGATTCACCTGCCTCTGCCTCCCAGTTGCTGAGATTAAAGACATGTGCCACCATGCCGAGCAGTAATAATCTTTTTAAAAAACATTTAATTTTTTTTTATGTGTATGAGTGTATTGCCTGCATGAGTGCACCTGTGTCATACAATGCCTTTGGAGGTCAGAAGAGGTTGTCAGATTCCTCTGGAACTGGGGTTACAGATGGTTGTTAGCTGCCATGTGGGGGCTGGCAATTGAGCCCAGGTCCTCTACAAGAGCAGTCAGTGCTCTTAACCACTGAGTCATCTCTTCAGCCCCCACAGTAATAGTTCTAAATAAAATTGGGGAAAAAGGGGGGGCTGGAGAGAAGACCAACAGTTAGGAACAGTGGCTGCTCAGAGGACTTGGGAGGAGTTCAGTTCTCAGCACCCACATGGTGGCTAACAATCATTCATAACTCCAGTTCCAGGGGATCTGATGCCCTCTTTTAGCCTCCATGGGCACTGTATGCATGGGTATAATTACATATATGCAGGCAAAACATTCATACACATAAAATGAACATAAATAAACTCTAAAAATAAAAATCTGCATATCACATAATTCAAGTTTCAGGGACTCCAATGCCCCCTCTTCTGGCCTCCATGATCATTGCACACGCAGGTTCACATATATACATGTAGATAAAACACTCAGACACATAAAACAAAAATAAGAGCTGGGCATGGTGGTGTATGCCTTTAATCCCAGAACCTGGGAGGCAGAGGCAGGAAAATCTCTGTGAATTCAAGGTCAACCTGGTCTTCAGGCCAGCTGGGACTATACGGAGACTCTGTCTCAAAAAGACCAAAATAAATAAAGAAATATTTACTGGGACCATGTCCCAAGTTCTCCCTCTCCTCTCTGCCTTTCGCCATGACTTTCTGCTGCCTTTCTCACTCCCCTACTGTCTGATCCATTCACCAGGCAAAGGGCACATGAAGAACTGAAGTTGGATTATCTCTTGGGTCAAGCGGCTTATCATCCTGCTAGATTGAAAATCATTAACACCACCAACTCACAGAGCTCTCTGTTGGCAGTGTAAGTGTTTAATAAATATTTTTCAACTGCACTGGGGTTGAGCAAAAGCATTGGAAGCAGGATAAACACAGTCCAAAGTGAACTGGTGTCCATCTCCCTTCCTCCCAAATCCAGCCCCTCCAGACTTACAGGAAAGATCTGGAACTCCATCCGTGAAGGCTGTTCTGCTGCATGGAATTTGGGGCCCATGGTGGGGTCATCTCTGTCTCCATCCTCCTTGGTAACCTCAATCTCTGCAGTGCTCAGCTCAGTTTCAGTATCAGAATTCAATGCCCCCTGAAGACATTGAGAACATCAAAGGTTTGCTCATGATCTCCTCACAGTTGGCCATAGCTTCCACCACCCCGGGACTTCCCCTTTCCAGAACCATCCACTTCCCACCAACCTGTAGGATGGTGACATTGTGTCCAATAGTCACAGTGGTGGCGACAGACAAAGGGGTAGAAGTTGGAGGCAACTTTGGAACGGGTGACTCAGTCTCGGGGGTGTCAAGAGAGGTCTAGAGCAGGGGCATGGAAAGGACATCAGATCTGGGATCAAGCCGATCCAGACAAAAAGAGACAAAGTTGGGGCTGGAGAGATGGTTCAGCAGCTAAGAGCACTGACTGTTCTTGCAGAGGACCCAAGTTCAGTTCCCAGAACCCACATGGTGGCTAACAACCATCTGTAACTCCAGTTCCAGGGGATCTGAAGCTCTCTTCTAGCTTCCACAGGCATTTCACTACACAAGTACACTTACACACATGCAGGGGAAACATTCTTAAAGATAAAATAATAATAATAATAATAATAATAATAATAATAATAATAATAGACAAAGAAAACAGGTCTTTCCCTGAGAGGGGAACCCTAGTCCAGGGAGGGGACATAGGTAGATTCTCAAAGGGCATGAAGGACCATGGAGTTAAAGGTGTGCTCCCTGGAACAGCTGGGCCAGGACAGCCAGCAGGGAGAGTCACCACTGATGAGGGAAGAACAAGTCTTCCAGGCCTGGGATCACAGCTGGGCTGACTCCAAAACCCAGTGATGAAGACCAGCACTGAGAGCCAGACTCCCAGAAGCCTGGCCCCATAGGTCTTCTCCTAAGACATAGCTGAGCGGTCAACCAGCCAGACTACAAAGTCAGCTTCTCTGACCCGACAGCTGCTTAAGAACTGGGTCAAAGCAGAGAAATAAAGCCAGAGGGTCTAGGTGAGGGCCAGGGGCTGGTGAGGGGCAGGATGTTCTTGGTATTCACAACTGTGGGATAGATAGATCTAGAACTGACATGTAGTTACAACCCATGGTCAGTGGTCACTTCAAACAAGGGCACTAATCAGTGGCCCATGCCAAGGACCCTTCCTCAGTGACCCATCAGCTAGTGACCTAAAAAATGGATCCAAGTTATTCTAAGAGCCAGTGACCCTTAAATGAGCCACTCCCCCACCTCAATTCACAATTCCCACCAATGACTCCAACCAGAATCTATTTCATCCAGGGATCCAACCATGATCCCAACCAATGAATCATCCAAATATAACCACTGCTTGGTGATCCCCAAAGTAGTGAGCCCTCCCTGGGACCCCAACCAATTATTCCTCCAACCAGTGATCCACAACAGTGACCACCTATAAGCAAGTCCAGTTGCATGCCACATCCAAGGACCCCAAAGTTATTCCCTACAACCAAAGGCCCATCAATGACTTCTTACTAATAACCCACCAACAGGGCTGGAGAGCTAACTCAGCAGTTAAGAGCACTGGCTGCACTTGCGGAGGATCTGGGTTCAGTTCCCAGCACCCACAGGGGATCCAAGAATGACTTCTGGAGAGACCCTTAATGAGGAATTGTCTAGATCAGGTTGGCCTGTGGACACATCTATGGCAGACTGTATCTATTGTTAATTAATGTAGGAAGACCTACCCACTCTGGAGGGCTCCATTCCCTAAGTGGGGTGGGGGTCTGAGCAGCATCAGAGAGAACGGAGCCAGAAGAGAGCAATCAAGGATACATCTGTTTATTCTTCCATCTCTTGACTATGGAGAGGGTGCTTTCAGCTTTGACTTCCCCACAGTGACAGATGGTAACCTGTATTGGTGAGCTGAAATCCCTTTCGCCTCTGAATTGCTTTTGGTCATGATTATATATGTACACAGATTGTGTGTGTGTGTGTGTGTGTGTGTGTGTGTGTGTGTTTTCCACATGTCTGTGGGTAACTGCAGAGGCTAGAAGAGGATGTCAAATTCCCTGGAGCTGGAGTTACAGTCAGTTGTGAACTGCCAGTGGTTGCTGGAAACAGAACCCAGGTTCTCTGCAAGAGTAGCAAGTACTCTTAAGGACTGAGTCAGCTCTCCAACCTCGGGATATATTATGGGGGGGGGCGAGGATAAGAGATAGTTTGTTCTGGAGCCAAATATGAATTCCATGTTCCAGCATGGTAACAGTTACATTACATTTTTATAGTAACAGAAGAAAGACACTTCAAATACATTCATGTATCCACTCAGTAGACAGGTCATAGGGGGTTCTATTATAGGTCTCAGATGCTATCTGATGACATTCTTAGCTTTTGATTTGTGAGACCTGGTAATCTGCTAAGTTAAATACTTTATTAGTCACAAGAACGTTAATTCAGAAGCAGGGATAGGCAAGGTTGTGGCTATTCTATTTATGGGGTTAAAGATGTCTCCAGATGATTTGTGAATAGCCTCTGGATCTGCAACATTCCAGACTCTCCACAATCTCTGGAGTGCTAATCAGTTTGTGAGGCTTGCAGGAAATTCAGTCCAAGATACAGGAAAGATATATTTTTTAAATATCCTATTTTTTATGTGTATGAGTATATTGCCTGCATGTGTGTAAGCACTCCTGTGACATACAATGCCCTCAGAGGTCAGAAGAGGGTGTCAGATCCCCTAGAACTGGAATTATGGATGGTTGTTAGCCACCATGTGAGTGCTAGGAATCAAATGTGGGTCCTCTGCAAGAGCAGCCAAGTGCTCTTAGCTGCTGAGCCACGTCTCCAATCACAGGACATATTTTTTTAAGATTTATTTTTATTTATATGTCTGAGTATATGTGCATGTTTGTGTATGCCACCTGAGCGCAGATGTCTGCAGAGGCCAGAAGAGGACATCAGATTTCCTGGAAATGGAGTTACAGACACTTGATAGCTGCCATGTAGGTGCTGGGAACTACTAAACCCAGATCCTCTGCAAGAGCAGCCAGTGATTTTACCCACTAAGCCATCTCTCCAGCCCCGTGGTTAATAGAGAGCCCCTGAGATGGGGCCTGTTACCCATCTCAGCTAAGAGGACCAACAAGAGGATGAGGGACCAGAGATGGGTGGGGATCAAACAATGGACGGCAAAGTGGGAGGTCCCAGGCCCTTACCTGGTTCTCCAGGGAGTCAGGAAGTAGGCTTGGCAGCAGGGTCTCCTGGTTCTTTCTCTTCTTGCCCTTTCCCTTATGACCTCGCCCTTTCTTTTTCCCTTTGCCCTTCCCTTTGCGATGAGGTGGACGTGTTTCTGGTTCATCCTTGGGGCCCTAGGGAGAGATCAGTCAGTTCTAGGGATTTCTCTGCATTGGAAATGCCATCACTAAGGTCACCTGGACCTTAGTCATGTGGGCACATAGTCTATTGGTTGACACTTGGCCAGGTTCCTCACAAGATGTGGACCACTTAGCTATGTGACTGAGCATATGTGTATGTGTGGGTGCATGAGTGTGTCCATGTATGAATGCACGAGTGTGTATGGGTGCACTAGGGTGTGGTTTCATGACTGTAGTGGGAATATGAGTGGGGGGGTGCGCCAGTGTGTTATATGAGTGTGTGTGAGTCCATGAGTGTGTGCAATGCATGAGAGTGTATGGGTTCATGAGGGTGTGGGTGGATCCATAAGTGGGAGGGGGGTACATGAGTGGGGGGGTGCACAGTGTGTGGATTCATGACTGTGGTAGGAATAGTTTGTGGGGGTGCACCACTGTGTGGGTGCCTGGGTGTGTGTGGGTGCACCTGTTATTCCTCTGGCACCATTCACCTTTTTTCTGTTTTTGAGACACGGTCTCTCCCTGACCTGTCTCACCAATTAGGCTAGGCTGGCTGGCCAGTGAACCTGTGTCCACCTCCCCAGTGTCCAGAATATAAACATGTGCCAACATGTCCAGCTTTTTCACATGGATTCCAGGGATCAATCTCAGTTCTTCCTGCTCACATGGGAAGCACTTCACTGACTGAGCCATCTCCCCAGCCCAGACTGATTTGCCATGATTGAGTTTTTTAAGACAGGATTTCTGTATCCAGCCTAGGTTGGCCTGGAACTCCTGGTCCTCCTGCCTCAGCCTCTCAAATGCAAGGATGCTAGCTGCCTCTCCATGCCTGGCTGGTTATATCATTGAGTCAAGGGACCGGCCCTGTGTTGGGGATGTTGGAGCTCTCTACTTCCTAGGGAAGACTCACCTGTCACATTGGGGCCCCTCACTCACCTCTGTGACTGCAGGATCTAGAGTGTTGCAGCTGGGGAGGTAATGCTCACAGGCCTGGAAGGCAGCCTGAGGGTCTGGACTTATCAACAGCTCCTGGATGTCACCCTAGATGGGAGGAGAAGAGGTACAGCATGACTCTGACCCCTGCTCCCAAGTACGGCTCTACACCCCTTCTGCCACAGAGCCTTGATGCCTCCCCACCCAAAGGATACTACACAGGAGGAGGCCTGTCACAGCTACTCAGAAAAGGTTCCACCAGGCTGATCACATCACAGGCACTAACCACACCACCCAGTGTGAACGCTAAGCTTGATTGTCAACTTTTCAAAATTAAAACTTTGAATATGTGTGTGGGTACAGGTGTGCCACATCTCTCCCTTGTGTGGTCAGAGGACAACTTGTGGGAGTCAGTTCTCTCCTCCCATCATGAGGGTCCTGGGGATCTACCTCAGGTTGCAAGGCTTAGTGACAAGTTCCTTTCCCCACTGAGTCATCTCACTGGCCCCCTGACTGTATGAGTGTTTGCCACCATGTGCATGCAGTGCTCTCAGAGGTCAGAAGAGGGCAACAGATCCCCTGGAACTGAACTTACAGATGGCTGTTAGCCACCATATAGGTGCTAGGAACCCAAGTCCTCTGCAAGAGCAGCGAGTGCTATTAACCATTGAGCCAGCTCTCCAACCACACCCCCAAAAAAATTTTTTTAAAGGAGAAAGCGAGCTGCAACCCAGCATTCATCCCTCTCTGCTTCCTGACTGTGGACACGATGTGACTAGCTGACTCATGCTCCTGCCACTGAAGTGACGGTCTCTGCCCTCATACCTTGAGCCAGAATAACCCTTTCTTATCTCGATTTTGTCAGGTATTGTGTCACAACAATGAGGTGACCTGGGCTCTTGGACCTATACCAATTCACATATGCATGGCATCCCATTCCTTCAGCCCTGTAGGGCTAGGTGGAAACTGGGCTTTTTTTCCTTTCTATTCTCTTCTGATTTGGGCTGTGGACAAAATTTCCCACCCTCTGCCTCAGTTTCCCCTGACACTGAATGCCCTACCTCAAAAGTCTCCTCCTGGACGTCCTGGGTCCCCAAGACAGTGAATCCAGTTGCACTGATCACCTGAGGCTTCCGACCCCACACAGAGGCCTGAAGTTCACAGTCTGTCACCAGAGTCACCCTGTCACCATCAACGCTGAGGGCCAAGTGGTGCCATCTGTAGAGGGCATGAGTCTCAGTGCCCAGGCCTAAGCACAGGACCCCTTTCCCATTTCCTGTACGCACCTGCCATCTGTGAGGTTGACCTGCTGGGGGAGGGGGCTGAAGGACTCACCAAGGAGTCTCAGAGATGGCCCCAGTGCCAGCCCCAGTGGTCGGCCACCCTTGTCATCATAAACTGACAGAAGGACAGACCAACTGCCTGGCTTCGTCCGCAGAGTGAGCAACACAGAGAAATTCACAGGAAAATGACCATCTTGGTGAATAGAAGGAAAAGGGGCAGGTTAGACAGCTGGTATGACCCCTCTGGGATGACCCCTGCCCAAGTCGTCTTGCGCTGATTCACCTGGAAAGAGTTCCCATGTGGGGATGCTGAGCAAGCTGGACTTGCTCACGCTGAAGGCCCGGTCACCTTGTGGTGCCCTCTCGGGACAGAAGCCAGGACCCTCAGGAAACCCGGCCAGGCCCCCTCGGATGCCCAAGGCTTTCAGTACATCCACAGGCTCCACTGTAGAGAGAAATCAGGATTAGGAGAGACCAGGCCTGACTGCACAGCCCTGTCTCTCCAGCTACCCAGGAGGCTGAGGCAGGAGGAGCAGATCAAGGCCAGCTTAGGCTACACAGTGAGTTCAAGGCCAGCTTGGGCTAAACGGTGAGTTCAGGGCCAGCCTGAACTTAATACGACCATGTGTGAAAGTCAAAGGAAAAACAAACAAACAGACAGAACTTTACATTAGTTGATCAGGTTTGGGGGATCCCCTTCTCCCCCAGAGTGTGTTTACTGTTCATGAAGAAGCATCCAGCCTGGGACTAGCACACCCCCTTCCCCCACTACCCCATAGATGTTCCACCCACATCACTCTGAGGAATTTTTTTTTTTCCCTAAGTTTTTGGTGAGAAAAAAGCTGACCTAGTTCTAGGATGAATCAAAGCTTCCTGGCCAGAGCCCCAGAGCCGGACTGTCCTCTTCCCCACCCCCAACAACCCCCGCACATAGCTTCCTGGCACAGAGCCCACTTGCCGGGGAAAAGCCACAGAGAAAGGGAGGGTGTCTGTGTGTATTGTCTACTCTTCCTGGCCCCTATGGCCTCCTCTCTCTGACTCCCCCATCTAACCCCCACCTCCTCCCTTTGACTCTTCCACCTAACCCCCACCTCCTCTCTGACTCCCCCATCTAACCACCACCTCCTCCCTCTGAGTCCCTCATCTAACCTCCACCTCCCCTCTCTGACTCCACCCTCCCCTGCCTTTCCTACCCCTCACTTGGCCCCTCCCAGATCTGGCCTCCTCCTTCTGACCCTCTCTCTCAGATGACCTGGCTCTGATAGGCCCCTTTTCACCCCAGCATAAGAAGAGCTCCATCTGGCCCACCCCCTTTAATCCAGGTCATCCTGAGCCGCACCCCAGGCAGTTGGGTGGGGTTAAGTGACTCCACATGGCTGGGGCCTACAGACAGGGGCTCCCCTGGGCCCAAAGCCCCTGTCCGGTCCCCTCCCCTACTGCTGTCCCACTAACCCCCTGACCCAGCCTCCTGGCAGGAGGTGCTTCTGTGAATCTGCCATGAGCTCACTCCAGGGGCAGCCAAGCTGACCTCACAGCTGGGGTCGGGGGGCCAGGCTTAAGGGAGGCGGGGACTTGCATGAAGACCCCCATCTCAGCTATTTGGAACCATCATGCCCCACACCTTGCAGAACCCCCTCCAACCCCAGCTGCCTCTAGAGCCACCACCTCTTGCTGTTTCTCTCCCACCCAGTTCCACCTTCTGTCTGCCCCACTTTCCAAGTTCAGTTGTAATCAAGCAGTCAATCAACAATTAGCCTTGCTCTCTTGGTATTGGGTTAGTCTCTCTCCATCTCAGTCTCTGGTTGTCTCTTCCCCCTCCACCTATCTGTAATTGCTTCTTATTTACAGGCTGCCATTAAGAGGTATTTGTGTTACAGAACCCTGGGGTTGAAATTTGGGCTCTCAGGCTCTGCTGAGCATGAGGGCCAGCCTCGATATACCAGTCATCCCAGCTGTACCCTCTAGGCTAGGAGGCGAGGACCAGATTTAGATCCACAATTTCACCCAGCACGAGGACTCTGCCCAATCCAGACACACCAGTTCCTTTCCTTTTAAAGTTTCTATTTATTTATTTTTATTTTGTGTGTATAAGGGTTTTACCTGCATGTATCTAAGTGCATCATGTGTGTGCAGTGCCTTCAGAGGCCAGAAGAGGATGTTAGATCCCCTGGAACTGGAGTTCCCAATCATTGTTAACCACCATGTGGGTGCTGGGTACCAAACCCAGGTCTTCTGCAAGAGCAGCCAGATCTCCAGCACGCCCCCCTTTTGACAGGCATGTATTACCGTGCCTGGTTTACTGAGTGTTGGGGATGAGCCTACAGCCTCATGCATGCCAGGCAAGCACTCTATCCACTGAGTCCCAGCTCCAACCCAGATGCCCCAGCTTCTATGCAGCAGGAAATAACCCCCCCTTCTCTACTCACATCTCAAAAGTCCTTCCTGGCATCTAACCCAGAGGACTCCTGCTTCAATCTTGAGTCCCTTGTGTAATGACCTTTCAAACAACTGACTGCCCTTTCTTTTCACAGCTGGCTTCCTGACAAGTAGGCACACACTAGGGGCATTGAGTGCTGGCTACTGGGCCAGGAGGTGGAGGACTGTCAGAATCCAATCTCCCCCACATACATATCCTCTTCTCTGAGCTGGTCCAAGCCCCTAGCAAGATTCCTGATGGGGTCCAAGATGTAGAAGAAGGAAGATAGATGGGCCAGCAGATGGGAAACCCCACAAATGCCTGCATGTTTGAGGTGCCTATGTACACCAATATTTAAACGAAAATACTTGAGGACCAGCAAGACTGCTCATTAGGGTTAAAGGCACTTGCGGACAAGCCTGATGACAAGCTTGACCCCAAAAACTCACATGGAGGAAGGAGAAAACCGACTCCCAACCACCACACCTGCACCATGGCACTCATGTACACACACACACACACACACACACACACACACACACAAAATTAATTAATATCAAAAGAATAAAAAGAGAGAAATTTTTTTAAATTTTGATGCAGTTGTTCCAGGTGAATGGGGATCCTGATGGCAAGATTTGAACCTTGTGCACCCTCCAGGCCAGACTTGATCAGAGAGGGAGGCTTTAAGCCCCATGGGAGATTTCTCCCACACTGTGCATGGGAAAATGTGTCAAGTTAGTGAGGGGGCAACTGATTGTGATGATTAAAGTGTTTGTCACAGGAGGACGTTGAGATTTTAACAGCATCTAAGACATGATCTTCTGGGGTGACCTTGGGGATTAGCTGGGCGTGACCACGTGTTGTGCATTCCTGGAGTCCCAGGGGTCTTGTGCTCTGAATGGAAACCTGAGGTTGCATGACACTGGGGTTGTGTGAGCGTGGGAACCAGGCACAGGCAAACATGGGGTTCCCATTAGGGCGGCCACCTCCCTAGAAATTAAGAAAGTGGGGTATCTCTCTGGAAGAGAGCTCACCTTCATTTTTGGGAGGTGATCTAGACCACAGAAGTCCTGGTCACCATATCCCCTCACCCTTTGCCCTACCCTACACACACACACACACACACACACACACACACACACACACACAACATACCCTGCCGGGTGCGGCAGGGGCACCCAGCCAGATACTCACAGCTGGGAGTGTGTGTCAGCACTGACTCATTCGTCCCTCTGCTCCTGGGCCCCCCTGGCGGGGGGTCCCTGAGAAATTCCTCTGGAAAAAAAATCACCCCAGAATCACACAGCTGGGGTGGGGTGCAACTTCCACTTCAGGCTCTCTGCCCCGCCCCGCGGCCTCACCCAGCCTGGCCCCTCAAGGCCCTCCTACGGGTTCTGTCCATGGTCCTGATGCGATGACTCTGGGGATTGTGGGGGTAGGTAGGTAATGGGAAGAGATGTGGGGGCGGAGCTGGAGTCAATTTAGGGCAGAGGAGGAAGAGAGGATGGAGTAAAGAAAGCCACTGAGAGAGGTGCAACGGGGAACGGTAGAGGCTCAGCAGGAGGAAAGGAGCTTGCAACTAAACCTGAGTTTGGATCTGAGTTTGACGCCCAGACTCACACGGTAGAAAGAGAGAAGTGACTCAAGTTATTCTCTGACACCCACACACATTCTGTGGCATGCCCCCTCCACACACACACACACACGAAGAAATAAAATAGGGGCTGGAAAGCTGGCTCAGAGGTTAAGAGCACTGACTTCTCTTGCAGAGGACCCAGGTTCAGTACTCAGCACCCACGTGGTGCCTAACAACAATCTGTAACTTCAGTTCCAGGGGATCTGATGCCCTCCTCTGGCTTCTGAGGGCAATGCATGCCTGTGATGTACTTACATACATGCAGACAAAATACTTATAAAATAAAATCAATCAATCAATCAATAAGAGTTAGGTGTGGTGGTGCACGTCTTTAGTCCCAGCCCTTGGAAGGCAGAGGCAGGTAGATGTCTATGAGTTTGAGGCCAACCTGAGCTACATAGCAAGTTTCAGGTCAACTGAGGTTACAGAGAGACATGTTTTTTTAAAAAAAAAAAAAAAAAAAAGCAAAAATAACAACAATAATAATGTGTATTTTTAATTTAAAATTTTTTATTTTATGTGTATGAGCGTCATAGCTGCATGTATGTTATAAGTGCACCTGTGTCATGCAGTGCTCTTGGAGGACAGAAGAGGGCATTGGATCCCCTGGAACTGGAGTTATAGATGCTTGTTAGCCACTATGTGGGTGTTGGAATCCCTGATTTGTCCACCCCACTCACCACTAACCTCAAAATGAGCACACAGGCAATAATATACACCCTTAAATCCAAACTACAGCCAACTAGAGACTTGAAAACACACCTGTAACACAGACACACATGATTATCCTCAAGATCAGCCCACAGAGTTGCAGCCATAGCTCAGTTGGTAGAGTGCTTTTGCCTGGCTTGCGTGAAGCCCTGGGTTTATCCCAGCACCACATAAACCAGCTGTGGTGGCACATGCCTGTCATCTCAGCCCCAGGGGGGTGGAGAATAGAGGTCTGAGGGTTACAAGTTCAAAACAAACCTGAGCTACAAGTGAGTTTGCAGCTAGAATGGGCTACATGAGACCCTGTCTCATAGAGCAGACAAGAAGGGAGGGAGGGAGGGAGGGAGGGAGGGAAGGAGGGAGGGAGGGAGGTCTGTGTCCCCACAGACATATTGAACTTCTGACAACACACACCCTCCTAGGAACTTCCCTGTCACCCTTATTCACACAACCCCAGTCAACCCTGACATGAGTGCACAACCCTAGAAATTTCTTTTTCTTTTCTTTTCTTTTTTTTTTTTTTTAACAGTGTCTCACATAGCCCAGGCTGGCCTCAAACTCACTATGTAGTCCAGTCTGGCTTTGAACTCCTGACCCTCCTGCATCCACCTCCTCAGTCCTGGGTTCTACATAGTCCCAGCTGGCCTGGAACTTACTATATAGACCAAGCTGACCTCTGTCTCACAGAAATCCTCCTGCCTCTGCCTCCCAAGTGCTGAGATTAAAGGCATGGACCACCATGCCTGACTTGCCATACAATGCTGGGATTGGAACCCAGAGTTTCTTGAATGCTAGGCAATCAGTCTACCAACTGAACTACAGCCCCACCCCGACACCTTTTCTTTTGAGACAGGGTCTGGTTTTGTAGCCCAGGCTAGCCTTGAACTTGCCATCCTCTTGTCTCTACCACCTGAGCGTCGGGAGGTTTCCACACCCAGCCTCATTCATTTTCACATACCTTTCTGAAAACACAACCATAGGTTTCCCAGCAACACCCTTCCCTAACTGTCACAGGCACAGAACTAGATCCTCACTGGCTTCACATCACTACACACCCTTCTGTGTGCCCTGTCCCATGCATATGTCTTGGATTCTCCTTTACACCCCAATGCTACTCCCACCCTTCCTCCCGGCTCACCAGCCAGCGTCCAGCTCACAAGCTGTAGAGAGGCCAACAGCAGGCAGAAGCCAGCCCAAGGCTGGCCTAGGCTCCGGCTGCTTCTCATCACCATGGGGCCTGGTGCGCCAAGGCCAGAGGGACTGGGGATGGGGCGGCAGCCGGGCGCAGGAGACTCCTGTGGCTGCTGGGGCGCAGTCACTGTGGACAGCGGGTTGAAGATCTGCAGAAGACGGTCCCAGACCCCGCCCTGGCCTCGCCCTGCAAGGCAGCGCACAGGCAGGGCGGGGCCAGGGGAAGGCGGCGGGGGGGCGGGGAGGGGCGGGGAACCACAGCTGGCTGGGAAAAGTACACAGTTTGCACCGCGCCCTGATTGGCTGGTTGCAAGCTGAGCCGCCCCACGGCAAGGATGGGCCATTTCCATCAGCCCTAGAATCCAGGGGTTCCAGCCTTAGCCTAAATCCTCTCCATCCACCTGGCTCTCTCAAAGGCCGATCTTAGCTTGAATCAAACCTTCACCGTTGGGGTTAGTGAGAAGGCTCAGTAGCTGAAGGAGCTTGCTGCTAAGCCTACCAACCAGAGTTCGATGTTAAGATCCACCTGATGGACGGAGAGAACCGGTTCCTGCAAGTTGTCCACGGATCTCTCTACATGGGAGCCACGGCATGTGCACCCACATACATACACGCACACAATAATAATTTTTTTAAATAGCCATCAGCCTCCCCAGGAGGAATTAAGGAATTAAGGCTAGGTATAACTTTTAAATGTTTTTATATTTTTGTGTTTTGGTTTGGTTTTTCCTAGAGCTGAGGCTTGAACCACTGAGCTACTCAAGCCCTAAAATGTTTTTTATGTGTTTGTCTTGCCTGCATGTATGTAAGTGTACCCATGTGTGCAATGGCCCACAGAGGCCAGAAGAGGGCATCAGATCCCCTGGAACTGAAGTTTCTGACAGTTGTTAGCTGTCATGTGGGTGCTGGAAACTGAACCTGGGTCTTCTGCAAGAACAACCAGTGTTCTATGGACATCAAAGTTCTTTTTTCTTTCGATTTTGGGGTGGTAAAATGTAACCCAGAGCCACAGGAAGTTCAGGCAGGAATTCTGTTGCTGAGCCACACCCCAAGTTTACACCAGACTCATAATCTCTAAGGAAAGGAATCTGGTTCCACCCCCATCCTATTGCTTCTTCCTCACCCTCAGATCTTTCAAAAGAGGGGTCCAACCCATCTTAAACCCCCATGAAACTGGGGAATCTATGTGAGTGTGGGGGACCTTTTTCATTCTTCAAGGCCCTGTGGGGACCTCCCAGCATGCCCAGGAGCTCTCTACTCCATGCACTTGACAGGCAGAATTAAGGGGAGTCTCCCTAGGGAAAACTCAAAGGGGGCATCACACAGTTTCGAAGTGTCCCCCTCCTGAGGAACAGCTTGCTAGCCACAAGGTAGCTGCCTCCCAGTTCAAGCTCCTAAAACAAAGAGTCTCTGTGTCCTAGAAAAGGAAGAGGTGGGGCCCCATGTGTGGCTGAAGAAAACGATGGGAGCCCCTGGAGGAGGGGGAAGAGCAGGGACTCTCCCCACAAGCAGACTTTCCTCCCTCCCCCACAGACTCCGCCTTTTCCAAATAGTTTATCAATAAGTTCCAGCCCTGCTAGTCTAGTCTAACTTCTTTAAACTTTTTTTACATTATTTATATCTTGGGGGTGCGGGGTGGCATACAGTGCCTTCACTTGTTGAGCCATCTTGCCAGCCAGCTCCCTAGTTAAATTTGTTCATTTAAAGGCATGTGTTACCATGCCTGGCTCAGATTTATTTTTATTTTTTATATGTATTAAGTGTTTTGCCTGCCATGTATATTACAGTGCATGCAATACCCTTAGAGGCCAGAAGAAGGAGTCGGATCCCCTGGAACTGGAGTTACAGACTGTTGTTAGCTGCCATGTGGGTGCTGGGACCTGAACCCAGGTCCTCTGCAGGAGCAGTCAGTGCTCTTAACTACAGAGCCATCTTTCCAGACCCAAAAGACTGGTTTTAAGATAAGAAACATTCATTTGCTAAAATGTGTTGGGAGGGGTCTTTTTGAGACAGGGTCTCCCTGTAGCCCCAGCTGACCTGGAACTACTATGTAGACCAGGCTGGCCCGTAACTCACAGAGATCCTCCTGCCTCTGCCTCCCGAGTGCTGGGATTAAAGGCGTACACCACTACACCCAGCTCACCTTAAAATTTAATTTTTTCATTATAACTGTAAATTTTTCCTGGCAGGAAGCAGGTCGGCGAGTTTTAGGAGTGTGTGAGTTATTTCTTCTCTTACTACCTCTACTCTAGGTGTGGAATCTCTGGTTGGACAGAGAGAGAAAAAGAACAGTAATGGTCCTGGACATCTTCACTGAAGCATCAGAAGTCAGTTTGATCAGACTGGAGATGTATGTGGCTTTGAGGTACAGTCCTTGCTCAGCATGCACAAAACCATGGGCTCTATCCCCAGCATCCACAAAATGTCAGTTGATGAATTAGACTAGGGAGGCCAGGTATATCAGCACATGCCTTAAACCCCAGCACTCAGGAGGCAGAGGAAGTGGATCTCTGTGAGATCAAGGCCAGCCTGGTCTACATAAGGAGTTCCAGGCCAGCTGGGTCTACAGAGAGACCCTGTCTCAGAAAATCTGTTATAAACCAGGGAATAGTGGTACAGGCCTTCAACCCCAGCACTTGAGGACTGAAGGTCTCAGGTTCAAGACCCTCTTTGAAATAAATATAATACATAAATTTGTCTAGACTCTTTAAATTCATCCTCCTGCCTCAGCCTCCCAAGCCAGCAGCAGAATCACAGGTCTTTCACTCCCAGGCCTGTACCCAAGAAGAGCTATTGGGTAGATGGAGGCTCAGAGGTGCAGAAGATATACCAGATTCCACAGCCGAGCCCTCCAGGGCCCCTGAGCTCTGCAGGGGACCAGGTGGCTGGAGCCTGCAGGAGAGATGGGCTGAAGCTGGGCGGGTGAGGGTGGGGCAGGCGCTGCACAGGTGACGTCATGGATCAGGAAGAAGGTGGACATGGCCTCCCAGCCTCAGATAGTGCTCATCTCAGGCTGTTCATCCGGGATCTCAGGACCCCAGGCAGCAATACTCCGGTAAGAGATGGCTTAGTTCTGTGCTGTCCCCGCTGTCCCACCCTCCCAGGTATAGGCTGATACAGACTGTACAGACAGCCTTCCCATAGCTGCCCCCATGGGCTGGCCCCTCATCTCAGATGTATTTTTTAGTTTATGTGTATGTGTGTGTGCCTGAGTGCATGTATGTGCATGACATACATACAGCAATTTGTTACCATGTGGGTGCTGGGAACCAAACCCAGGTCCTCTGCAAGAGCAGCCAGTGCTCTTGACCACTGAGCCAGCTCTCCAGTCCCTCATATATGTATCTCTTGAATATTGGATATCATACAGCAAAAAATTATGAACAAGAGACAAATATACATTTGTGTGTGTGTGTGTGTCTATGTCTGTGTTTGTGTCTGTGCTCCTCAGATTGAGGATAATTCAGTGGATAGTGCTCTTCCCTAGCATGCACAAAGCCCTGACTTTCATCCACAGCACCACACAAACCAGGTGTGGTGGCACATGCCTGTCATCCTAGCATTCAGTAGGTGGAGGCAGGAGGACTGAGTTCAAGGTCACCCTTGGCTAATAGCAAATTTAAGGTCAGCCTGGCTACGTGAGACCCTGTCTCAAAAATAGAAAAAAACAGTCAACTCCGTGTCAGGGGTGTGGTGGAGTCACCTGTAGTCTTAATACTCTGGAGGCTGAGGCAAGAGTTCCAGGTCAATGAAACTCCTAGGGTCCTCCTAGGGAGATCTTGTCTCAAAATAAGCAAAGGAACAAGGAAAACCTCAGCCCTGCGTCCTGGAGTAGTGGGAGAGGGGAGGAAAAAGAGACAATAAACCAATGAAAACAAACTGGAGGCTGGGTATGGCGCTGCAGGTTATCATCCCAGAAGTCCAGAGCAGACAGAGGAAAACTAAAGTTCAAGATCAGCCTGGGCTATGTAAAAAGACCCAAAGAAAATCAATGGGGAGGGGAGGGGGATAAAAGAGCAGGTAGGAGAGGAAAGGAGAGGAAGAGGGAGGGAGAGAGAAGAGGGAGAGAGGAGGGAGGGAGGGAGGGAGGAGAGAGTTGTAATAAGTGTTAGGATAATAGAGCAAAGTGGGAGGGAATGGTATTTTTAGAAGCGCTGTCCAGAAGGCCTCTCTGAGCAACTTGCCCCAGCACCCATGGGAACAGATAGTCACTGCCCCCCCCCACTCCCCAGATCACAGCTACCAGATAAGCCTCTTAGGGTGACCCGACCTTGGGGGCTTAACTGGGGCATTATTTACTGCGTCTCTGAAGTTCATTGCTGCTTCGTGCAAGCCACCCATGGGCACCTCTGACCTAGTGCTGGCAGGAGGGGAAGCTGGCAGAGGGCTGTTACCTAAGAGCAAGATGCTGGGGTGAGGGCGCCACCCCAGTTGGCAGGGCTGAGTCTCCAGCCTTCTGGGTTAGAAGTGGCAAGAGTTTTGAGTGTGAAAGAATGAATGCCAGTGTGAGTAGAGCTGTGTCCCTGCAGGCTGCCACTGGGTAGGAAACACTGTTACAGGATTCGGTGAAAGAGCTCAGTGGGTAAGGGACCTTGCCACCAAGCCTGAGTTTGATCCTGGGACCCACTTTGTGGAATGAGAGAACCAACTCCAGAAAGTTGTTCTTTGACCTCCATATATGTGCACACACAAACTAAGTAAATAAATGTAAAAAAAAAAAAAGTAATGATACTACCACTACTTAATCACAGTACTCAGGGAACATAAACAGGTGAGACAGAGAGCCTCATAGAGAGTTCTAGGCCAGCCAGGGCTAAATAGTGAGACTGTCTCTAAAAACAAAATAAAAAATACTGGGGGTTGGGGATTTTTGTTGGTGTTGAATGGCTCTCTCTCTCTCTCTCTCTCTCTCTCTCTCTCTCTCTCTCTCTCTCTGCTAGGGATGAAACTCAGGCCTTTTACTTGCTAGGCAAGTTCTCTACCACTGGTCTAAATCCCTAGCCTTTTTTGTTTTTGAAAGGGGATCTCAGTACATAGCCCAGGCTGGCCTCAAACTCATAATCCTCCTGACTCAGCCTCCTGAGTGCTGGGGTGACAGGCCTGTGCCACCCTGCCCAGCTAAAGGTAGCATTTGCTACTGCCTAAGACCATTCTAAATGTATCTGTCATTTCATCCCACCATCACCCAGGGGGCCTGTCACTCACTGTCTTTTGCTTGGTTTTAGAAATGAGGAAACAGAACCAGGTGTGGTGGCGCACACCTTTAATCCCAGTACTCAGGAGGCAAAGGCAGGTAGATCTCTGTGAGATCAAGGCCAGCCTGGGTGAGTGCCAGACCAGCGGGGGCTACAAAGAGACCCTGTCTTGGGAAAAAAAAATGAAACTGACAGACAGAGGGCTGGGGCTCAGTGGGTAGGACACTTACCTGGTGTGCATGAAGCCCGATTCCAAGCCCAGCACTGCATAAACTGAGTGTGGTAGCATATGCCGGTCATCTCAATGCTTGGAAAGTGGAGGCAGGAGATCAAAGCCAGTCTGGGCTGCATGACGCTTTGTCTCAAAAAAACAAATGTTTGGTGACTGGATGTGGGTTTATGTGAACATGTGTGCACAAGTGTACATTTGCTGAACGGGTGCTAAATTTAAGTGTATGAACATGTGGGTCTCCATCTGTGACAATTTACTTCAATCTGCATAAGACTGTAGAAACAGCTTGGCATGGTGCTTTGCATCTGTAATCCCAGCATTCAGGAGACTGAGGCAGGAGGATCTCTAAGTTCCAAGCCAGTTTGATCTACATAACAAATTCCAGGTGTATATAGGGAGGCTCTGTCTCAAAAAATCAGAAATGGGGACTAGAGAGATGGTTCAGCAGTTAAGAGCACTGGCTGCTCTTGCAGAGGACCCAGCTTTGGTTCCCAGCACCCACATGGTGGCTAACAACCATGAGTAACTCCAGTTCCAGGGGATCCAACACCCTCTTCTAGCTTCCATGGGCATTGCATACATGTGGTACTTACATATATGCAGGCAAAACACTCCCACATATAAAATAAAAATAAAATCTCCTGCGGAATGATACCCAAGATTATCCTCCTGCCTCCTCACATATGAGCACACACATGTGCACACACATGTAAACATACATGTGCATGCACACACACCATACAAGCACACAGGGCAAAGGAGCCCAGTCTCTGTCCCAGCTCTGCTCTTTACCCTCAGTGGTGGCCACCATGAGGGACCTGGGGAAGAAGGAGCCTTTGGAGGCAGCTGCTGGGGATGCTCTGGGGAAGACCCTGATTGTGGCACAGCTAGACGTATGCAGTGATGAGTCAGTGGCCCAATGTCTCAGCCACATCCAGGGAGGACAAGTGGACGTGCTGGGTGAGACTTGACAGTCTGGGGAGTCACTCACCTTGCCCCTCAGTAAATACCCTCAGTAAAGTAACAACTTCTAGCCCTGGGTAGAAGGGTAGCTCAGGTGGCCAGAGAAAGAGGTAGACCAGTTGGCCAAAAGGCAAGAACAATCTATTAAAGATGCCAGATCTAGGGATGGGATGGATTGCATGGGAGAGTCATTCTCACATAAGGAGAAAACCATATGTGGTTGGGAAAAGTACTCCAGTGAGTCACTCAGAGACAGGAGGATGATGAAGCAGCCACTCAAGTCCCCACGGAGCCTGCTAAAGAGGGTGGGTGTCACCATCTTGGCGCAATTTGAGGATAGACTGGAATTGTTCATCCATGACAGAGATTCTGTTTCTGGTAGCTCTTCCAACATTTAGAGCCCAAAATCCTGTACAAAAAAAACCAAAAACAAAAAAAAAAAGACCACCAAATTGATAAACAGTTCAGAAAGATACCCTTGATTTGGAGGGAGGGAGCCTTGGTCATTGGGTTAACTTCAAGTAACACTCTGTGTGCCCCCTTAGTGAAAAACGCAGGAATAGGCCTGGTGGGGCCCCTGGAAGGGCTGAGCCTAGCTACCATGCAGAATGTGTTTGACACCAACTTTTTCAGGGCCATCCGTCTGGTCCAAGCTGTGCTTCCAGGCATGAAGAGGAGGCGACAGGGACACATTGTGGTGCTCAGCAGTGTTATGGGACTCCAGGGTGAGTCTAGGGACCCACCCCTAAGGAATCTACTCCCTCCCCTCTATCCAGGGTTGGAAGGATGGCAAGTGGGTTTTAGCTCATAGACCAAATGAACTTGTGTTGAGAAGGATTCTGAAGCTCAGAAGGGACAAGTTCTGGGATTGATCAACTGTGTCTCCCCTGGTATAATAATAGGCAGTGGAAGTAGCCATGCCATCAGTGGTAATCCACATCCTAGAATTAACTCCACTTCTGGGCATAGCTTCCATTGTCCCTTGGAAATCCAAAACAACTATCATAACTAATCCTAGACGCCTTCTTGCCAAATAGCTCCACACCAGGCCTAGGGATGTAGAGATTTAAGACTCAGACTCAGCAGAAAAGACAATGCCCATCAGTTGGTGATGTCTGCACAGGCCTACTCTAGAGGCCACCTACTTGCCATCCATGTTGCTTCTTCCTCCTTGAACCCTTTTAGACTCCCTTCCTCTCCTGTCATGGTCGACTCTGAGGATGCCATACACAAATGGACCAGGGATATAGATGAACAGAAGGGAGTTGTTTCCTGAGAGCAAGGGCAGCTGGGACGTGGTGGCACATAGCACCCACAACAATCCTGATTCCACACGTGTCCATTACACATCCCACAACACTGTGGATGCTTGGCCCTCATCTGAATTCCCAAGACCTTCTCTTCATGTTCCAAAGACCCCCCCATCGCCCTGAGACCCACAAAGTCCATGACTGGCACCCCCCTGAGTCTGCCTCCTTACCATCCTTCCAGGTGTCATGTTCAACGACGTCTATGCAGCCTCCAAGTTTGCCCTGGAAGGATTCTTTGAGAGTCTCTCCATCCAACTGCGCCAATTCAATATCTTGTGAGACGGGTACCTGGGTAGCCGGGACAGGGAAATGCTGATTCGGGAGTCACAAAGGAAAATGGAGAGGAGAGAAGGCAGTTGCTAGAGGGAAGGGTTCGTGAGTTCCCACTCCTCTCTGAAGACAGCAGTTGCTAGAGGGGAGAGGTTCATGAGGCCCCACCCCTCCCTGAAGTCTGATTGGCAGTTAATAGATGCTGGGAGGAGGAGTTTCACAAAGCCCAGTCCCTTTATGAAGATTTACAAGTAGTTGATGGTTGCTAGCCGAGAGGGGCTCCACAGGGCCATGCCACTACCTAAGGATTGCTAGGTAGTAAACAGTTTCTGGGTGAGGGGCTCATGAGGCCCTACCCCTCCCTGAGTACTGATAGGCAGTTGACAGTTGCTAGAGGGGAGGGACTCATGAGGCCCTGCCCCTCCCTGATGATTGATTGACCATTAACAGTTGCTGGGGAAGGAGGGACATTCATTCAGTGGCGTGAGGGGCCCAGACTTCTGTAAATAATCCTCCCCAGTTCCAGGAATTTTGATGCCCCCTTCTGGCCTGCACAGGCATTGCACATATGAGTGCACTTACATGAAGGCAACACATAAAATAAAAAGTAAACATGATGATGATGATGATGATGATGATGATGATGATGATGACCAGAGACAGTGAGTGAGGCATTGTTGGGGTCCCACACCCAAACCCTGGTCTTCTCCCCAGCATCTCCCTGGTGGAGCCAGGCCCAGTGGTCACTGACTTCAAGGACAAGCTCCTGGCTCAGGCTGCCTCCTCCGAGTTTCCAGGCACTGACCCTGATACCCTGGGCTACCTCCAGGACCTGTACCTCCCAGCCTCCAGGGAGCTCTTCCACTCTGTAGTACAGAGCCCCTGGGACGTGGCCCAGGTGGGTGCACAAGGCCCTACAGCTCAGGTACCAAGGGACACTGGGGACCTGTGCAGGTCCAAGAGCTTGGGGCTCCCTCCCACAGGTCATTGCCAAGGTCATCAGTTCCAGCAGACCTCCCCTTCGAAAACAGACCAACTCCCGATACCACCCTCTGGTAGCACTCAAGACCCTGGACCCCTCCGGGAGCCTGTACATAGAACTGCCCACATGCTCGTCTTCCACTGGCCTCGCCTCCTTGGCCTGGGCCTTCGATGCCTGGCCTGCAGCTGTCTCCCAAGATGTGTGTGGCCAAGATGAATGAGGCAGAAGCAGACTCCACACCTGAACAACCAGTGTATCCCTTCAGTGTACCCCTGAATCAGTGGACCATATAGACTCAATTCATGAAGCCCCACTGGAAAACTTACTGCTTTTATGTGTCTCTGTGTGTGTATGTGCATATGTGAGTACAATGCCTACAGAGGCCAGAAAAGGTCATCGGATCCCTGGGAATTGGCGTTACAGACAGATGTTAGCTGCCATGTGGGTGTTGGGAACTGAACCTGGGACCTCTACAACAGCAGCCAGTGTTCAACCACTGAGTCAGCTCTCCAGCCCAGAACTTTTTTGCCTCTGTGTGTGTGTGTGTGTGTGGTGTGTGCATGTATCTATGTGTGTTCACAAGTGTCTATCCATGCAAGTGTGTGGACATGCACACGGAAGCCCAGGTTGACTTTGACTTTGGAAGACTTCCTCAGCTGCCCTCCACCTTGAATATGGGGGCGGGGCTGGAGAGATGGCTCAGCAGTTAAGAACACTGACTGTTCTTGCAGAAGACCCAGGTTCCAATCCCAGCACCCACATGGCAGCTAACAACTGTCTGTAACTCTAGTTCCAGGGGATCCAACAGTTTCTTCTGTTCTCTGCGGGCATTGCACGACCCAGGTACACTTATCTTTATACAGGCAATACACACATACACATAAAATAAAATTAATAAATAAAATAAAAAGAATATGGAGACAGGGTCTCTTACTTGAACCCAGAGTTTGCCCATTTAGCTATTCTGGCTGGTCAGTTTGTTCCAGGAGTCACCTGTGTCCCTCTCCCAAGCACCAGGATTACAGGAAGATTGCCGCCACATCCACCCAGCTTTTAATGGAGTACTGAGGATTTGAAGTCCTGTCCTTACATTTGTGCAGCAAGTGTTTTATCAGCTGAGCTGCCTCTGCAACCCTAGAAAAGCTTTCTTGTCTGCCTGCCTGTCTTGTCTGTTTTGAGACAGGGTCTTACTATGTAGACTAGGCTGGCCTCTCAGGGATCCACTTGCTTCTGCCTCCCAAGTGCTGGGATTAAAAGCATGTGCCACCACACTCAGCCAGGAAAGCTTTTTATTAGTCAGTTTGTGCACCTTGCAGCCTATCAGATTCAGTTATAGGAGAGCAGGGAGGAGTGGAAAAGTGGGTGGACAGGAAGTGAGCACAGACTGGATTCTTCAGCCTGTGGTATGCTCACTCTATGCTGGTGTTCAGGGCTTTTCTTGAGGTAGAGGGGAACCAGAACCTGAATAGAGAACACTGGGCGGCACTGTACTGCTCTCATCCAGCAAGGCTCAGATACAGCTTGCTTAACAAAGGTTCCTGGGCTGCAGGCATGGGCCCCAGTGTGGACGTATTAAAAGGTGGTGAATTGGAGACTGAGGCAGGAAGATTCACAGTACAAGACCAACCTGGGCTACAGACTGAGACAAGGCCGCCGGAGCACCTTAAATAGAACCTATCTTAAAAATCAAGAGCTGGAGAGCTGACTCAGTGGTTAAGGGCATTGGACTGCTCTTGCAGAGGACCCAGTTCAATTCCAAGAACCCATATGGTAGCTAACAATCATCTGTAACTACAGTTCCAGGGGAACGGATGCCTTCTGGCCTCTGCAGGCATTGCACACATGTGGTACCCTTACATATATGTGGGCGAGTGGGGATCTCGGAGCGCCAGCTGCTGGCGTGGCACTGGTCTCTCGCGCGCCACTGGGGTGCGCGGGTTTGGCGCACCATGTTGCTGAGACGGGTCCCTGCTGTGCAGGTCCCTGGCTCTCCGAGGCTACCGGAAGCTGGTGGCTCTGCCAGCCGCTGTCAGCTGCCCCGGTGGGTTCTGTTCCAAGCTGCCGGGCTCCCTCTATGCACGCGATCTGTCGGCCACCAGATCACGAGGGGACGTGCAAGAACGGCGAAAGCAAGATCTTCGCTAGTGGTTGTTTACAAAGGGACAGCCCCCTCCGCGGAGACTGAATCGTAGGCAGTAAGACACAGGATACAGCTCAGTCTTAGTGATTCAGCTCCAATTTATAAGGGGGAAACCAGGATATTTATAGTGTGGAGGCAGTAGCAAAAGCCTTAGTTGATAGGTGCTTTGTAGGATGCCCCATTTACATGTGGTGGTGGGCTTCTGTCAGGCTGTCAGACAGTGCCTGATTATCACACAGGAAAACCTGGCAGTTTCATGCCGGAGGACATGTATCTGTGACCGGCACTTCAAAAGGTGAGTCAGGAAGGAGAGCAGAAGGTGCCCCGCTGAGAAGAGGAGTCTCTCCATTTGCGCCGAGCCGGCTTGCGGCTATCCAGACATGGAGAGACTACAACCCAAAACAGCAGGGGTCCCCAACACATACATGCAAGCAAGACACTCATACGCATAAAATTAAAATAAATTTTTAAAAATAATAAAAGTAAAAAGGGGGTTGGGGACATAGGTTCAGTGGGAGAGCTTGGGCCTAAAATCCACCCATGAGGGGCTGGGATGTGGCTTAGTTGGCAGAGTGTTCTCCTTGCATGCACAAAGTCTTAGGTTCCATCCCCAGCACTGAATAAACCAGGCGTGGCAGTGCACACCTGTCATCAGAGAACTGGGGAGGTGGAGACAGGAGGACCAGGAGTTCAGGGCCATTCCTTTGTTTCTTTAGGTTTAAAGATGGAGATGAGGCTTTTGGTGATGGCCCTTTAATCCCAGCACTCAAGAGGCAAAGGCAGGTGGATCTCTGTGAGATCGAGGCCAGCTGGGGCTACAAGGAGACCTTGTCTCAAAAAGATCCCCCCAAAAATGATGGAGATGAGGCTTTCTTTAAACTTCCATCACTCTCCCCCAGGGCCCCTTCCACGCTGTGTTTGTGTTTACCTTTCTGAAAGTTTTTTATTCAATTTCTGTGAATTTCAAAAAATATATTTTGATCATATTTAGATACCCTCTCATATCCATACTCCCTTTCCTAACCTCCCAGTAAAGTTCTGTATATATATATATACTTTGCTATATATATGACATATATATATAATATATATTAAGGCCTATAGGTATCTCAAAGGCCTATAGAGTCTAGTTTGTGTCCCAGATCCCTTTGGTATCTGTCCATCCACTAGAGAGCCTGGTCAACCTACCAAGAGCCACACCCTTAAAGAAAACTCTCTGCCTCCCAGAAGCCATCAGTTGCAAAAGGTTCCTTGGGGTAGGTTGTGGTTTCTTACTCACTTCCCCACATCTGTGCTGGAATTTGTCTGGCTTGAGTTTGCATGGGACTTGTGCATGCTGTCACTATTGCTGTGACTTCATATGAATAACTGACCAGCTGTCTGGAAAACTCCATTCCCTTGTGGTCATCCACCTCCTCTAGCTCTTATGATCTTTCCTCCCCCTCTTCCGTAATGATCTCTGAGTCTTGGGAGGCAGAGGTTGACACAGGAGTCCTATTCAGGGACAAGCACTCTGCAGTCTCTTGTTCTCTGTACATTGGCCAGTTGTGAACTTGTGTGTTAACTAACATCTGCTAAATAAGAAATTTCTCCGGTGAGAACCGAGAGATGCATTGATCAAGGTGATCAAGGTGAGTATGGGCCTGTCCTCACCTTTACAACCATCCCTGACTTCATCACTTCTAAAATCACCCATTTTCAGCTGGGTGTGGTAGCATACACTTGCGAGGCAGAGGCTGGTGGAGCTTTGTTTGACTGAGGCCAGCCTGGTCTACATAGAGAATTCCAGGTCAGCTGGGGTTACACGGAGACTCTGTGTCAAAAAGATCCCCCACCCCAAGATAATACATAAATACTAAAATTGCTCATTTTCAGTGTGCTGTGTTATACCATCTGGGTCCCTGAATCATCTAAATACATTAGAATGTGGGGTCAGGGGACGGTAGGAAGAACTATCAAGATGGCTCAATTGGTAAAGGTGTTTGCCTCCGAGCCTGATGACCTGAGGTCAATCCCCAGCACCCATATTACATGAAAAGGATTCCTTACAGTTTGGGGTGCAGTAGGAGGAGGATTTGGGCTATGGTTTCACATTGCCCTCAATTTCCTGTCGGTTTCCCACACAATAAAATCTCATTGAGTCAACCTCAGTGTTGCAGGGAAGGGAGAACTCTGAGTGGTAACCACAGAAACATACAAGAGGGGAAAGCTGGCGGTGGTGCTGGGGGGATGCCACCTGACTGAAGATGCTGCAGGCCTGATATGCCTAGCTTGGTTCTGAGTCCTGCACTCCCCACCACCTCCCCAGACCAGCCTGGACCAGCCTGGCTATCCTCAGTGTGTCCCCCACAGGTCAGCCATGGCCTCCTCCCTCTCTCCTTCTTTATTCCTTTCCCTCCCCTTTCCTCCTCTCCTCTCTCCTCCCGCTTTCTCCTCCTCCCCTCCTTTCTCTCCCTTCCCCTCCTCTCCTCTCTTCTGCCCCTCCCTCCCCTCCTCCCCACTCCCTTCTCTTTCTCCTCTCTCTTTGCAGAGGCTACTGCACGCTCACCTGCACTAACCCTGAACAGCATCCACCCTTCTTTATTTTCGAGTTTTTCCCTCCTGTTCACTAGATCATGAACTGAATATCTAGAACCAAGCAGCTTCTCAGCCTGGCCCCACCAGGAGCCTCACCTTCTCATACACAGTGCAGCAGGTCCTCTGCATCCTGCGCTTCCATACCCTCAAATCCAGGCAACTGTTGAGGGTTGTGCTGGATAGCTTTAGTGTCAACTTGACACACCTGGGTTTAGGGAGCCTCAAACTGGGGAATTACCTCCATAGGACTGGCCTGTGGCCATGTCCATGGGGCACCTTCTTGATTGTTGTGTGATGTACAAGGGCCCAGCCCACTGTGGGTGGTGTCACCCCTGGGCAGGTGGGCCTGTGTTCCACAAGAAAGCAGGCTGAGCAGGGGCCAGGGGAGCAAGCCAGTAAGCAGCATTCCTCCATGGCCTGTGTTTCAGCTCCTACCTCCAGGTTCCTGCCCTGAGTTCCTACCTTGGGCTCCCTGATGAACTGTGACCCAGGAGATGTAAGCCAAATAAACCATTTCCTTCCCATGTTGGTAACAGTCAGAGTGTTTTGTCACAGCAATGGAGAAACAAACTAGGACAGAAATTGGTACCAAGAGTGGGGTATTGCTGTGACAGACCTGACATTGGTGTTATTAGGAGGATTGTGGAAGCATTCGAAACTTTAGGCTGAAAAACCCATTGAGTGCTCAGAGTTTGTTGCTGTGGAGCTTGGAACAGTTATGCTGAAAGAGTTGTGAACAATGGAGTTCTGGCTTGTGAAGCTTCAAAGGGAAGCAGAGACTATCAGGGCTGTTTGTATGATATTTTGAATTGAGAATCTGTAGGTTCTGGTCGGCTGGGGCCGAAGAATCAGCTGGGATTAAGAAGAGACCAGAACTTGAAGTAAAACCTTTGCTTTACTGGGACAATTGATGCTGGTTAGCTGGGGCTGAAAACTCAGCTGTAACAAGAGACCAGCATTAGCATGGTGAAATATTCTGGGAAGTATTTCTTCAGAGTCCTTACACAGAAGCTGTGGTCAACAGGGGACCCAAGCCTCCATCTCTAGCTGGAAGCAGGACTTGGTAATGTGTAAGAGTCTCCTGCATGGTTCTGGTGTTGAAAGCGTGAAGGGGTCACAGAGCAGCTGAGGCTTGGCACTCTGGGAGGCCAAGAAAGGCCATAGGTGAAAGTGCAGCTTCAGTTGCAGCGAAGACCCCAGGATTGAAGGGGTCATGGAGAGAAACTGAGGCTTTGCACCCCAGAGGCAAGAAGAGGCCATTGGTGAAGGTGTAGTTTCAGTTTCAGTGACGACCCCCAACTTTTTGGAGATGCCAGGACTGTGGGGTGACCAAGGGCAGAGGCAGGTGTGGAATGGAGCCAGCCTGGGTCTTCGAGACAAGCTATATGTGATGCGGATGGCAGGGTCAGAGAGGTGGAGCTGCCAGAACCTTTTGGAGCCCAGAAGATCGTGAGTGAATCCCAGATGTCCAGGCTTGAGCTACTTTGCTGGACTTTGGTTTTGCTTAGGTGTGCCAAATTCTTCCCTTTGAAATAAGACAGTACTTGTTTTGGATTTTACAGGGGTCGAGGGTTTTCATAAAAATGAAGATACAAGCCAGGCCTGTCATCACAGTACTCAGGAGGTGGAGACAGGAGGATCAGGACTCAAGTCCAGCCTGGGCTACACAGCAAAACCCTATCTTTAAAAACAATTGTTAGTGACTGAGCATGATGACACACGCCTTTAACCCCAGCACTCCGGAGGCAGAGATAGGCAGATGTCTCTGAGACCAACCTCAGCCTGGTCTACATAGCAAGTTCCAGGCCAGCTGGGGCTTCAGGGAGACCCTATC